TTAGCGCAATGTTTTCTATTGTGGGCATTTAACAAAGAGCCATCAATGACAGAAGGCTGGGAACAGGCATAATTCTCTGGTTTTGATTCTTGGCTAAAGTATTTTTAAGTAAAAACACAACTCCTCAAGAGATGTAAAACTAGATGTTAAAATAACAATGTGTGTTTAAGTTTTACCATCATTTCCCCCTTTATAATAAAAACACGGAAGGAAGGCTTCCTGTTGATTTACAAAAGAATTTCAGGAAAAAATGCTAAGCACGTGCCTAAGTGGCCTAATGGATGTTAAGGAGTTTTTCAGGAATGACACTAGGTTACTCCCAGGATAAAGTACATTCTGGAAGCAGCAAATAAGTGGAAATGAGCCACTCCACACCACTAGAACACAGCATTTCACAGCCACATCTGTAAACACTTTCTAAGATACAAATTAGTAGCAAATGTAATTGTGGCCCGAGAACTACTTTGTATGAGTATGTGAGGGACATATGACTTGTCATTCAAATTATAAAATGATTCTCAAGTGAGATACCCAACAACAGTTCATTTAAACACAGAATGGCCTCATTTTCCACACAAATATTCTAGCAGTTTGAGTGCAAAAACCTACAACTGAAAATGCAAAGCTTAACCTTAGCCCTGGCCATGTAGCTCAGTTGGTTAGAGTTGGTTAGAGCATTGTCCTGATAAGTCAAGGTTGTGGGTGAAGCAACCATGAATGCATGACTAAGTGGAACAACAAAGTAACAAAGCCATGTTTCTTTCTCTCTCTCTCCCTCTCTCTCTAGTCACTTTTTCAAAAAAAGTTTAATCTTACATGAACTATCGAAAAATGGCACAAATTGTGTTTCTGTCTTTAGTTAGAATCAAACTTTTAAAAAATCTATTTTTTTTTTTTAATTTGTCCATGCTTTTTCTTTTTTAAATATATGTTTTATTGATTTTAGAGAGAGGAAAGGAGAGGGGGAGAGAGAGAGAGAAACATCAATGATGAGAGAGTCATTGATCAAGCCTGCAACCAGGCATGTGCCCTGAAAGGAATCGAACCCCAGTCGCCTAGATCCTAGGTTGACGCTCAACCGCTGAGCCACGCCCGGCGGGGCTCCATGCTTTTTCAACTATACTGATTCTAGTGCTAGAAATACTATAGATGTTCAAATGGTTGTGTGTTGTGAAATTAAGTATTTCCTATAAATTCAAACCCATTTATTATTAGTCAATGTTCAGTCTGTCTTTAAGTAGTCACTCAAAATCAGTCCTCAGTGGGTGGGAGTCATGGGGCTGACACCCCCACCTCCATATTTTTATCACCCTTACCTTCTAGCTGCCCTGAGGTGGCACACTCTGGAATTGAGAAGGGAAAGTGAATGAGAGAAGTACCCCTGATCTTGATTCCCTGTCTCTGCACCATCACCACCAAATTCCCAGACAACTGATTTCATGGTTGGACATCAGTGTTTCTTTGCCACAACTGTGCTGCTCCAATTAAGCTACTTGAAAGTAGGGCACTAACAAACAAACAAACCCAAATCTTCATTTTTGACCCATCAAAGTATCTGTTCCATGTCCTACAACTTTTTTCACTAGCTTGGATCAAGTCAGGCAAGTACTTTCTCTCAAAAGGGGACATTTTAGGGAGACCCAAAACTGAAATAAACAAGAGAGAAAAACAAATTCATTGATAATGAATTTTTGGCAAAAGTCTGGACTGCAATCTAACTCCTGTAACAATTCCCACTGACAGGTGTTTTACCAACATCACATTTCTTTCCTCTCTCACCCCAGGTCTCCGCACTGCTCTCTTGTCCCTGATGCTCCCCTGGAATTCCCCAGGGATGGTGCCAACCACCAGCTGCCAGGAGCAGCCCCACAACTGGCCCTTCAATTCCTGCCCCTGATCCAGTGGTGTGCACGCTGGCTAACTGCTGCCAGGTCAAGTTGGAGGCAGGACTTGAAAATGCAGTGTTGTCTCAAACAGCCAAGGCCTCCAGGAAGTGTCTCCAGACAATTTGTCTCTGAATAAAATATCTGCAGTTTGGAGATGTACTATACACACAGACTTTCCAACTCGTTAAGTCATAATATGGGCATCAAATGGTTCATGATACCTTCTCCTGCAGCACAGGAACTAGAGCAAGCCCAGCACATAGAATGTTATGAGACAAATAGAGAGGAAAAAGGGTCAGACAGAACCCACATAGCCGCAAACACCAGAGCCTGCAACGCGATGCTGAAAGGGCGATTTTCTTGAGGTGACTGAGACTCTCGGAACCCGAACCAGGGATCAAGAGGGCACTTAAGGAGACATGCTCATAGGCATCATCGCTCTGCAAAGAGCAGGGACTGGTTTGTCATGAGAACCTTGAACATCCTAGTATCCATGTGAGTTGTGTATTGACCACTGAGCTCTGGAAGGCAGATGTACTAGAGTCACAGAAAGTGATTTCATAAATATCTCATGTGACAGAAAAGAACAAAAAAAAAGTTGATGTGACAGAACCCTAAGCTATTTCATTTTCATGGCCTCATAAACATCTCTTTAAGTAAGTTAGATCACTTGGAAATAGGCTGAGGAGCAAGGCAGTTAGTTTTGCTCTGGAGAGCACAGTGCATTTTCCTTTTTTCACAGACTGTGAAGATGTGCTTGTCTATGTCCAAGCCTGGACTAAGACAGCTCTTCCTGGGGCATGGAAATTAGAACAGAAGTAACTGCTCTGCATCATCGTGCAGAATTCTAAAGGAATTCCTCTTCTCGCGGTGACATCACAATGCTGGGTTTCCGCTGTCATAGAACTGAGTGTGGTTTTGCATTTAACCCATCACAGGGATCCCTCTGCAGCTGGTGGGCACCACACGGGCTTCCTCTGTGCCCATAACAGGGGTTCTGGAGGATGAGAGTCTTTTCAGAGGACACACTGGCTAGTGTGGCCCCAAGACAGCAAGCAAAACCTGACCTGTCATTCTGAGCCTGGCCTGAATCGGTCAACATGTGCTGAAGACCACAGAGCCTTTATGAAAATATGACTTCAAATATTTTTCTTTCCTCTCCTCATTTCCTTTTCCTAAGGACTCAGTTCACAAGGTGTGTCTGTAAGTGTTTATTTGAATATGCAACCACTTTTACAGGGCTCGGATGTTTTAAGTCAAGAACCCTGAAAAGAGAAGATAAAAGCTTCAGTACAAACTCATTTTATAAAACACCATTACTTGATGACTTCTTTACTTGCTCATTACTCAATCTAAATAATTTTTTTTTAAGTTTGTGATTGTATGAAGATTCGGTATAATTTCAGATGGTAATTTTTCTCTTTTTAAGAATTAAATGAAATCACAGCATTACCTTGGCAAAATAAACCATTCCTGCCTTTTAAAAATTTACTGAGTTCCATGTCAGGCTCTTTTGCCAAAGTGAGCAGTCTATTAAGTTGAAACTTTTGACTACCTAAGTTTTCATTTTTTTGTTTCTGTTTTTTCCAAGTACGATGAGAAAGCCAGCAGTCTCGTTAGTCTGTTTCTGAGTCTGAGTCTCTGGGTCTGTTTAGTTGGCAATAAGAACTCAGCCTTTTGCTGATACGAGTTTATCAGCATCTAGCACAGGCCTGGTACATTGCCACTCTCACGTTTGTTAGACCAATTTGCTTACCAACTTCCTTCCTGCTTAATTGTAGGAACCATCCAAGTCATCATCATTGCTTTTCTCAATGGCAAGAAAACCTTACTTCTGTTCCATTTCTAAGACAAATTCTTCTAAGAACTGTCTGCCCTATACTATACCATAGCCACAATCTGTCCCCTGCAGGCTGAAAAATAGCTTATTCTACAAGACCACTAAATAGAAAATGCACCAAAAATATGCTCTGATCAATACAAATAAGTATAATGAAGACTGTCCCAGAAATAACAAATAATTTCAATCAATTTCATACAATTGATTTGTTCTTTCAAGGAGCCCTTAATTTACTCAATCCCTGATTGAGTTGTTACATGAATCATGAAGGTTTAACTATGAAAATAAAGGCCGATATTTCAATCAGGGAATACCCACGATGGTTTAATTAAAGAATTTCTGCATCTCACTTACAGAACATTGCTCCTTAAATACAGCATGGCATTTATTTGAAATGTCCCAGAGGCAATTAAGCCTTTGATTAATAATAAAATTTTCTTCCTTAGCTTCATTCTCAATTACCATAAAGCTCATTTCTCATTGCCTGAAACGTCCAGCATGTAGCACTCAAGGATTTAACTTGCATGTGATTCCATACAATCCACCAAAAAAGGTGAGAAGAAATTGAAGTATACAGAAGCTTGCCCTTTCTAAAGATTGGACCCCTTACTTGTGTTGTAGTTTGCCTCACTTCAACTTGCAGCCTAGCCATGTCTGCAGATGTGTGATGACACCCCTGAGTTAGGAGAGAAACAAGGGGACCTGGTGACCAGGGCATAATTCCTAACTCTGAGATGTCAGCTGTTCTTGAGCTCAGAGAAGAGGTAAAGAAAGTCATTAATAATATACTTGCCCACATAATTGCTCTAGTCTGTGTTTCAAGGAGAAAACAATGCTCATGAGTTCCAAACTAGCTAGCTCCAAAGACCTTCTCCACTTCCCTGGAAAGGAGGTGATCGGTGAGGAAAGAGCAGCAGTTAAGGGCATGGGCTCTAGAACCCAGCAGACCTGGATCTGGTGACCCCTTAAGAGTGTTACTTAACCTCTCTAAATCTCAGATTCATATTCTGACTTGGATTATTGTGAGAAGTCAATGAAATGATGCACATAACACGGCCAATCAAGTGCCTCACACACCGGAAGTCCAATCAATAATAGCTGCTATTAAGAAGAAGATACTCCCCCTTCACTTCCCTGACACACAGGTCTGGAGCACAGCGTCACCTAGGACTCCACTCAGGCATGTTGTTTACACACACACACACACACACACCCACACCCACGTGCGCGCGCGCAGATGGTGGCAGGCACTCTGCCACATATGGGGAACACACCTATCAAGGAGACCAGGGAGCCGGCTTCCATGACTGGTCAGCATTGCAGAAAATAAAGAAGTCAGGTTTATATCTCCTCTCTGATGTCCCCAGGTCTTCAGAGCTTAATTAATAGGTTGACACAACCAGAGTATATTTTCCATTACCTGAAATTTATGAGAGCATTATGTAGGTACCTGTAGTGTACAAGGGACAGTGTGTCTGTACACAGATACAAAATGTGAAAATAAAAGCTACCAGGAGCCACATGAAGGCGAACAAACGTAAGTCTCAGTGGTAGACTCTGTTCTTTTTTTCTAACATCCACTAAATCCTTTTTTGCATTATCTCACTAAACCCTTTCAACAATCCTATGAAATAAGTACTGTTATTGCTCCTATTTTTATATAGGGAAACCCAGGTTTATTTTATTCTGTAAGTTTAAATTTTCAAACATGTAGCTGCTGACCACGTTATGCCACATTTCACAACTGATGCCAGTTTTCTCAGGGCGTGGCACAAGCTGAAGCATAGTAACTCACATCCACCTTGCCAGAAAAGCTTTACTCTTAGAAAATACAGATATTTAGGCCAAGAATCTCTGTCTCTATGTGCTACAGTGTAAAACATGCTCAGCAAACTTTTTCTGAAAGGGCCAGATAGTAAATATTTCAGGCTTTGTAAGCTGAGAGACAAATGCAAGCAAATTATATATAAGGACTTGTATAACAAGATAGAACACAAATTCCCACACATTTTTTATTGACAAAATTAAAAATTAAATTGAGTACAATTTTTTGGTAATATGTATCACTCATGAGGAAAAAAGCACTCTTTTGGGAAGGCACAGCATTTTGCTTCACTGGAGTTCAAAGGTAATACTCCCTATTATCAAGTCATTCATTTGAAGGAAACATTCTCAGATTGAGGGCCATACAAAAACAGGTGGTGGGCAGGATTTGACCCACGGAACCCGGTTTGGAACTTTTCACTAAGGGTTTAGCCACAGACACATTGGAGACCAAGAGTTATACAGACACAGAACTAAGTCACAAAGAAGTGCCCTGACCACAATCATGGCAACAGGAGGCAAAACAGTGAGGACTCACGTCCCCGGCTTTAAACTGCAGACGGTATACAAGCCCTGGTTATTATTGACAGACATTAATAAGCAGAAAGCTTCCAGGCTCCAGCTCCCCTCCCTCCCGTGGGAATTTTTTTTTTTTTAATATCACTTGTTAATTTAGAAGGTTCAAAGTCACTGCCACACCTACTGGTTTGTGCCAAAGGAAAAGTCAGTTAAATGTCACGAAAAGCAACGTTATATTCTCTTTTATTTGTTTATTTAAAAAAAAAATCTCAGTTTCTCTCACATTCCTTATTCCCCCTCTCCTGATACCAACACGTTTCTTTTTTGATAAAGTTCTAACCGATCATTTTGTGTCCTAAATATATCCAGCACTCCATCCTCCTGTCAAATACAAAACCCAGAAACTCTGTCTTTGTGGGCTCCTCCCTTTGTGTGACCACAGGGGAGGAGTGGGGGACGAGAGGGGAAGAGGTGAGGAGGGAGGTTATTGGCTCACAAAAGTCCAGACAGTATTTGACTAAAAAAGTGCAGAGCAGGGGAGCAGGGTGGGAGAAATGGATCAGAAATCCCACAGACAGAGGAGGGCTATTTTTCTTTTAAAAGATTAAGGACTGTAGGTTTTCATGCTTACTCAGGTGGAACGAGAAAAGATTTTAACCTCTTTGCCTCATTCAGTTTGGGCCTGAACAAAATAAAAGTCGAGCACATTCAAAACATCCATTTTAATTTTCTTCTTCCCTTTAAGATGGCGAGACGACATCTGGTGAAAGATTCAGGGTTACATTCCACTCAATATTAACCATGGAGAAGAAAAGTCAAAGGCACGCCACACGCGGAAAGGGAGAAGGAACTTGTCCAGTTTTTCCTCGCCTCTCACAGGGACAAACATTCTAGGCGAAGACGCCTTGCCATTGGGAAGTAAATTCCAGTTCTAGCATCAAGCAGGACCCACAAATTCTGGTGGTTCAGAATAACTACGAAATGCACACAGTTATTTTACAGGAGCATAAGCCATTTCTTTTGAGCAGAGGAACCAGATTTTCCAAATTAGTCCAACTTGTAGTTGATGGGCTGAACCCCCATTTATCTGCATCCATAACGAACTAGAGCTCCCGATGACTAACAATGCCTCCAGGAAGTAGTTAAACACCACTATGCTGTACACTGGCGGTACACAGGATAAAAAGCAAGGGAAATAGGCAAATGGAGAGAGGGAGGAAGTTAAGGCAGTAATTTTGACAATAAAGTGGAAAGCATTTTCAAGCATTCAAATTACAACAGGGGTTCAGCTCAGCCTAAGCAGCCCTCCATGTCTACACAAACAAGTCTGTTCATTTCCTTGATAGAGCCAACTGCCCAGTGATTAAAATTTCTTTAAGATTTTCTCTTCTCTAACCATTCCTATGCATATTACATTCCTGGGATTACAAGATTTTAAAAATTAATCTAAATCTCTTAACACAATGATAAGGCGGAACAAGATGTAACAGTTGGGGGGAAGGGAAATAGAGACAAAGGACTAGTTTTAAGAGCCATGATTTCAGGGAGTCATGGTTTTCATGGTTTTTTTTGCTGACCCCGGCACTATACCTGGCATATAATAGATGCTATTTAAATAGAGAAATGAGTATATAAATGAATGCAAAAGCCAAAATATTAAATTAGCTTTAAATAAATTTCCCTTCCTAATTATATGGTATTGGTAATAATTATTGTAAAGCATTTTAAAAATTAGAAGACCAATTGAATGGGACTTCATCACCTATCACAAGCTAACCACCTGCAAATGTTTTTGTTCTTTCTATGGAATTATAGTAAGATTTAGTTCAATGTTTTGAGATATTCTTCCTTTTTTTTAAAAGCAAGCTAGAGAGTCATTTGTTGTGCTGCCAGGCTTTTTATTTAGGTAGAAATTAAAGTTGTCTTCAGCTTTTGAGCAAGGATTTTCTAGCCCTATTTTGACTATACTAATCCATCTAACTGTTCAATCCATGTTTATTTTTCTTTATATATTACAAGCTGCCAATATTTGGCTTATATTAAACACCTTGCAGAACTGGCCCATGTGGCAGGCTACTTTTCCATCGTGACTGGTCAGCAAGGTTTAGACACGGAAACACGTGTATGTATACTTGTGACTGGTCAGCAAGGTATTTAACAAAGTACAACATACCCAGGACCCTCGTCCCGAAGTCTCTCTAAAGGAAGCTCACTCTGGGGCTCCTGGGTTCTCCGGCAGGCTGGTGCTGTGCTGCCATCCTCCCTGGTTTCCATGGTCCTCCCACTGAGGCTGTGGCACCTGCCCCTTGGCTTCCCTGCAGAAGCATCTTGGGCTGCACTGCTGCTCTCTAGGCCTATGGGGCCTGTGTGTGGCCAGTCCCCTGCAAGCCACTGCTCAGAGGCGCCCTGTCCCCTAGTCCTACCCCATCTCCATGCAGGGATGGAGCCACCTTGCCCCTCCTCTTATGTTTCGTATGGCCCGTCCTAAGAAAGATGAAAGGAAAGTGCTTCAAGTCCCAGGCTCTCACTAAAAAGGAGGTCAGCAATGCAGCCAAGTGCTTTCTGTCCAGACATGGCTCGTGCCAAGGCTGTCCCGAGGGAAGCCATTCACTCCCACCTGCTACCAGGCCGCCACACTGTCCACGCACTTACAGACCGTGGTGGTGCTTGGTTCTGCACACCCGCTAGTCCATTTCTGAACAGCAACCCAGATACTGAATGGATGCATTAACCTAGGAACCCGAGGCCTTAACTACCCAAACAAGCAGCCAGTTTCCTGAGTGCCCACGGGAACAGCTTGAGATCCAGAGCTATGGTGCAAGACCTTGGAAAGATGGAACCAACAGGACTCTGTCCCCTGCCACCATCTGGCCAAAAGTTGGTCTGATAACAACACTAACAATATTAACACAGCACTGATGGGGGGTGGGGGTGACAGTGGCTCTTGGGAGTCAGGAAGTCATACCTACAAGACACTCAAGTACAGGCTGAAAGTGGTCCAGGATGCAGTGCCTCTCTTCCTCCCTTCTCCCTAAGGTTTATCAACAGATGAAAATCATGCTGTGTTAACTGACAGAGAAAGAAAAAGAATCCTTTCAATGACTCACCAACGGCTCAATGGCCATCTGCACTTTCTTTGGTCCCCTCTGGAGGGAAGGAAAGGAGTGAGGATGTACCCTCGGGTCTCTCTTTCCCCCCTCCCATTTATATACATTTCCAAAGCCCATTAAACTCGGAAGATATTCAGCCCCAAGTAGACTCATGTGTCCAACGGCACACAGATGATACTACGCCTCAGGGAAACGTTTATGACATGTGCCACCAACCACCATTCCCTGTGCCCTTAAGCACAACTGTACTCAAGCTGATCACTGACAAAGGAGGAGTCCAACCTAACAGGCCACAGAATAAAGGTTGAGTAAATGACCTATAGGTGGAGGGCCCTTGAGCTAAGATCATATGTGCATCATCTCCACATAAATGGCTGAGTATCTCTGTTGGTCACCAACATTGTATAAGGCATACCACAGCATGCAGAGATATTCTCTCTCCCCCTTTTAGGGTTCGTGTCTTTTAAAAGACAAGAGAAGTCAGTCCAGGTCATTCTTTTCAGTGCTAGCTATTTCCAGCTTAAGATAAGAAAGAACTTTTTTTTTTTCTTTTGAAAAAAAAAAAAAAATCTTTATTGACTTCAGAGAGTTCAGAGAGAGGAAAGGAGAGGGAGAGAGAGAGAGAAAAACATCAAAGATGAGAGAGTCACTGATCGGCTGCAGCCCGCAACCCGAGCATGTGCCCTGACTGGGAATCGAACCCCGATCGCCTGGATCCTAGGTCGATGCTCAACCGCTGAGCCACGCCTGACTGGGCAAGAAAGAACTTTTAATTCAGGTCTTCATCTTGATCTACAGGACGAAGACAATTGGATAGTCCTTGCCATTTAGCTCTCCCTGGCTCAAACAGCAAGGTCCTGTAGAACCTCTAGAACATAACTATGC